GCTCAAACATCCTCTACACTAAACGGTTATCCTGATCTTCAGTATCTTTGTCAGTAACCCACCTTGACTACTGATAGGTTGTCGCTATGCAGCTGACTGACTTCTAAACCCGGAGCCACAGTCCCGCACGCATGACCTATAGTGCGAGTACCATTTACAGAAAAATTTGAGTGGGACGTGAAAACTACCTGCTCGACTATGGAAGCAGGGAGCTTCCGAAGAGCTTGCTTGAAGCTGCTGCACGCGACTTATAATTTTCGTTAATTGTATCCTTTAAAAAATCCAAAATTTTTAATTGTATTCTGGCGTCCGAAACCCTTGATGTACATAACGTCTTTGCATTGTAACACGACAGTTCGATCATCCATTTCGATTATGCTTACCGTGTGCTCCACAGCAGGATGTTGCAGGGACAGGGGGTTGCGCAAGAATTACTCTTAAGTGATAGTAGACTTCCGCAGCATCTTTTCACTCACCCACCTGTGCCTGGTGTCCAAACAAAGTCAGAAAGACAGGAGATGCAGGTGGCTGGCACACCCAAGCCGCCCTTATGCATGCACCTCTCATGGCCGGCATTTGTTATCGGCGCCTAACCCGAGTAACGCTAACCGAACCCTGATCTGCACCCCTGTGTTGGTTCAGCGCATCTATCACTTAGACAGCGCACCGATTGCTTCTTTGGGACGAATGAAAATGTATATTTACTATCGAGTGCAGTGGCATAGGCCCGGAATAGTCTTTGAGTACGAATGCTGCAATATGGGTCGGAAACCATGCGAGAACCTACATAATCAGAGATACAGAGTTTTTGTGAAAGTTACATTGTCCCAATCTTTAACTAGTCCTTTGAATCAATGTTAAACTTGCAAGACAGTGATGGCAATAACAATAAACTTGCTGATGGTTACGCTCAGTGCGCTTAATGTCAAGGCTCATGACGGAGATTCGAATTCAAGTGGTTAGAACGTTGGTTGTACTAAAGCCCTCCCCTTGCTTCCCTTTCACTTAAGTTTTCACAATTGGATGTAATGGATTGAATTTAATTCTTTGTTCTGACACTTCAAGTAAAGAAGTACTTATCATCGGACGATGTGTTTAAACACTGTACAATAGCGTGGGACGATGTCACCATATCCTCTAATAACATGTTCGTAGGGCTCACCATACACGAAAAAGTAAACAGTCATAATCCTTCAAGAGTCTTGAGAATAAAAATAAAAATAGCGCGAGTTTGAGCCCCATATTCCCTAAAAACCTCGGTATATACGACTGAAAAGAGCCGAAATGCCAGAAATGGGCATTTCTATTTGCCTTGGCTTTGCGAGTAGGCCCCTTCTCTATATGCACCTTATCGTTAAACTTTTACGCAGCGGACTTGAATACTTTTCCAGTAAAAGTGTGATGTAGGCATGTCAACATTGAACTGACCGCTTGGTATCACAGCTGACTGTACGTGTCACGAATGCAAAAACGGAGGCTGGCTACAGGCTGGAGGTGCACTAAGCACAGATAACAGCACAGGTGATAAGTCTTAGGAGACACGCCGGAGTATGTAGTAAGGAGAAGTGTCATAG